CAGCAGCAGCAGCAGCCTATGTCGAGTCGTTGTTTCACGTCGCATGTACGTATGCGCCAGAGGCTATAAACTATATATGAGTCATTTCACGTCAAGTCTCCTAGCGCGGCGCCCGCGCGGCATTATTAATCGAAATTGTTCAATTTGTAACTCGCCAGAAAAGCACCTAAATGCACCCAGAAAAAATATGTGCCATATGATTTTGATAGGAAATTTTCTCAGCTTTCCGATGATGAGGTCAGATTTTCCAAAATTTTCCATTTTCCCCGGAAAAACTTGACATAAACTTTCAAACTCAAATATCTCAAAAACGGCATTTTTAAGATTTTTTTAAATAGTGCCAATCGAAAGCTGAGGAAATTTCCTATCGATATGCAAGTTTTCAGAGAGTACTTTTGATAATTACTCAATGAAATACAGCGACGAACGTGTAAAAACGTGACATTTCGGCCCGTGCGGCAGCTGTTCCCGCGCTCAGTACCCCGCGCGGCGCAAAATCTCACGTTTTTACACGTTTGTCGCTGTATTTCATTGGGTAATTATCAAAAGTACTCTCTGAAAACTTGCATATCGATAGGAAATTTCCTCAGCTTTCGATTGGCACTATTTAAAAAAATCTTAAAAATGCCGTTTTTGAGATATTTGAGTTTGAAAGTTTATGTCAAGTTTTTCCGGGGAAAATGGAAAATTTTGGAAAATCTGACCTCATCATCGGAAAGCTGAGAAAATTTCCTATCAAAATCATATGGCACATATTTTTTCTGGGTGCATTTAGGTGCTTTTCTGGCGAGTTACAAATTGAACAATTTCGATTAATAATGCCGCGCGGGCGCCGCGCTAGGAGACTTGACGTGAAATGACTCATATATCCAGTAGCAGCAGCAGCTACGGCGGCACACTTTGACTAGCTCTTTCACTCTCGCGAGCGGCGGTGGCGGCCCTCGCTCCCGTCACAACGGCAGCAAGCTCCGAGCTCTACCATAGCTCGCTTATATACCATCGCCGCCGCCGCCGCCGCCGAGGCTGTTTCAGAAGCTCGTGTGACGGCTTCTCTCTTACGGACGAGGTCGTCGCGCGAGGCTCGACTGTATACGTCTTGTACGCCCACACACACAGACGCAGACACACAACCAGCCACACGTTACGAAGAGAAATGGAGTCGCAGTCAACTATACGTAGGTACGTAGGTAGGTAGGTAGGTAGGTAGGTAGGTGTGTGCGTGTGTATAGGTGAAACTCGAGGGAAAATAACCCGTACTCGTGCCAGGAGCGTAAGGTGAAAGCTGCTTACGCGCGAGTTTGCTCTCTCTCTCTCTCTCTCTCTTTCTATCTAGGTGTAGGGCGCAAATTTCATCTCCTGCAGGCTAGGCGAGTAGCAGTACGCTACAGCCTCGTACGTATATAGTTGTTTTGTTGCTTAACTCTCGCAGCAGCAGCTAACTTAATTTCTTAAAGAGTCAATTATGCATCGAACGTTAATCAACGTTTCCATTTCTATGTACGAGGTAAAAAAGCTCGCCGGAGCTTTTTTGTCGACTTTACTCGCCCTTTCGACTTCTTCGCTTCGTTCCGTATTATACATCCCTTTAAACGCGCCGCTGCTCAGCTCTTTTACTCTCGGCTCTCTCTCTCTCTCTCTATCTCGTGCTTTCGGCTATACACGGCGAACCCAGTACGGTACTCCGTTCTTTCTCCGCTTCGACTGTACTACTGCTGCACACTGGTCGCACAGGAGCAGCGTCGACACCATCGCGCTTCGTCGTCGTCGACGTGGCGGTGCAGGCGCGCTGTCGCCCCTTCTCCTCTCTTCTTCCTGGAGAGAGCTTTTTCGAGGCTCGCTGCTAAAAAGCTCCATCTCTGTTCTCCGGCCGGCTATTTCACGGCGGCGGTGGCGGCGGCGTTCACGGTCCTCTCTCTCTCTCTCTATCCCTCTTTCCCTCTACTCTGCTCTCTACTCTGCTCTATGCCGGCGGTATGGTAGAGCGCCGGCAGCGCCGTTTCACGATACAACGCATTGCGATACACCGAGGGAACGGCGCGCGCGCGAAACTCTCGCTCGTCTCTTCTCTCTCTGTCTCGCTTTCTCGTCGCGCCGTCGCGCTTCCACGTATATTCTCTCTCTCTCTCTCTCTCTCGCTCTCTCACAGGATTATAACTCGCGGACGTTCCAGCCTAGTACCAATGCAGTAACCTAGCCTCTTCCTTTTTGCGATCCTTGCCATTGTGTTTTTCCTCCTCGTAATACAAAAATCATCTTCCTCCCTGTGCAAAGAAAAGCTCCCAGCTATACTTGTTTTCCTCGTTGCCGCAGTTTCGACAAAATCGATCGATCCTCGTCCTCGTGACTCCTCGCACGATACACAATATAATCTCCGCTGTCCAGTGCTCCTCTCTCTCTCTCTTGCAAGTCGCAAGCTCAACGTTCACGCCGATACATACAATAATAGTACTATAGGTACACGTATAAAATACATTATACGCGTATACACATACGAGAACGAGGTAGCATCAGATCCCCGCTCAACGGCAGCAGCAGCTAGCAGCATCCAGAGTGTGTACCGGTGTAAACAAACGGCGCGGCAGCAGCAGCGGTGGCGCACGCAAGTCCAAGTAAACGATCGTTGGCGAACGGTAAACAGAGCAGCGGCAGCGGCGGCGGCGGCAACGGCGGCAGTGACGGTGGTGGTAGTGGTGGTGGCGGTAGTCTCCCGATTGTGTACGTGTTGTGAGCGCAAACAAGTGGTACGTGTTGTATATAGAGATATGCGCGTGAGATTCTCGAAAAGTGCGATTGTGCTGCTTCTGCTGCTTTACAACTGCGCAGCAGTCTCTATAGATGTATATATATTCATGCGTATATAGACTGCTGCTGCTGTACGTATATATATATTTAAGCTCTGTGCAAGCTGCTGCTGTTACCAAGCTATACGTACGTATGCGTATATATGCACAATGGCTGAGGTTTAGCGCGCGCTGGTGATTGTGTGTGTGTGTATAGCAGGAGGCTCAGTACGTGTGTGTGCATATATATGCGAGAGGCGCAGCAGCAGCAGCAGCAGCAGGCTGTATGCGAGAGAGCGAATTCAGCTACTGCGCTGCGAAATATATACGTATAGAAGCTGTTGTTTGTGTCGGCTGTTTTCCGTCGGCACGGGGCGAACAACCGCAAATACGTCTTGCGACAATAATGCAATACAGGGGGGTGTGCGCGCGTAGATATATACGCCTGGCGAATCGATCGACAACTTAATCGCTCGATGCGCACCGCTATAATAATAATTATAATGATAACGGACCGTGTCTAGCCGAAAGCTTCCGGGTTATACGGGATCGAGCTTTCTGCGGCTCGAGTCGTCGCTGCCTGCGTTTATACCGTATTCGATTCGAATTTTGCTTGGCCGCATCGTTTCTCACTGCGCAAACGCGTTGTAAATGTTTATCAATGATTGCTTAATTTTAATACAACAAATTTCGAGTAAAGTACAAAAAAATAAAATAAAAGATTCGATCAAAAGCGAACATGAACAAAAAAAACAAAAGCTCGCAACGAGTTTTGAAAAAGCTGCACTACAGCTAGAAGGGCCACGACCACGTGAAGAAAAGTTGCCGGTAGATCACTCGTGGCGGTTTATGCTGGCGTATACATATAGTACATCGTGGCTGCTGCTGCTACTGCTGCTGCTGCTGCTGCGCGCCAAATGCACAAGGAGCAACAGCAGCAGACGCAGCCACAGCAGCAACAGCAGCAGCAGCGCGAGAGAGCGAAACAACCTCCCTTTGCGCGTACAGTCGCGCAACTCCTATTCAGCTCTGCCGCGCGTATATACCGTACTATATACATGTAGAGCGAGAGAGAGAGAGAGAGCGGAGCCGACGAACCCCACAGCTCTACACACAACAAGCCAACACAGCAGCCATCCATCCCCCCACTCTCTATCTCTCTCTCTCTCTCCCTTTAACTCCGGTGTAGAGCCTGTCTCGCTGCCGCTACCCTCCCGCGCACACGAACGAAACGCACAACAGCAGCAGCAGCAGCTAGCAGCTAGCAGCAAGCAAGCCAGCCAGCAGCGGCAAAAGCGTGAACGGAAATACTAGTCAGTCGCCGAGCGACCTTCCAACGTTACGGGCTGGCTTTGGCTTAATAACAATAATAGTATAGCGAGCGATTGTACATCATCGTATTGTTGTATACTCATTTAAAAAAACAAAAACGAAAGATTACCCCGCGATTTTTCACAGAAGGATTATAATAAAGCCTTTTACTACTTCTACACAACGCCGCGAGCTCGAATCATGATTCAGACGTGTCACGAAGTTTCGTATTTTTGCGGAAACGCAGCCGAGCGCTCTTAGCGTTTTCGACACTTTTTGCCGAAATAATAATAAACTATATATACTGCAAGCACCGTCGTTTTGTATACACGCATCTTTCGCAGGTTTTCCTTCCTGTGGTGGTTACAACTCCGATCTCCTTCGAAAAGTGCGGATAACGACGACAGCGATCAGTGACGAAAAGGCGAAAGAAAAAAAAATTTCATTAAAGTGAACGAAGCTCTGCGAGTGTTGATACGTAACTGACGAGGTTATTCAACAAGATTATCGATAACAGTTTCACAGTGAGTGCGAGTGTATTGTGATTGAAAAAAAAAGAAAAAGATTTCGAGATTTACCCAATTTAAAATAAAGTGCTCTGTTTTCCGCCAAGTTCGGAAAGCTTCGTAACCCCTTCGAAAAAATAAATAATAAAATAAAAATAATCACGTCGTAAATAACTGTGTGAAATCAAAGTAACGAATGTCAAGTTGGTTGTTCTGAAAAAAAAAAATAGTGGTGCAAAGTGAGAAAATAAAAAATTTGAAAAAAAAAATTAAATATAAAGAAAAAAAACAACGACAGTGGAACAAACGAATGATAAAAATTAATAAAAATCTTAAAAGAAATCTCAGTGAATAAAAAAAGCTCTCTCGAATAATTTCACAGTGACAAGTGTTAACAGTATTCTTCAAAGCAGCCTCTCATCGTCCTACGTGTTCCTCTTTCTCTACATATAGAAAAAGAGAACTGCAACAGCAAAAAAAAAAAAAAACAGAGTCTATTAGCGGTCGCGGGCGCGTGCAGCACACTCAAAGCCAAAATACGCAGTCACGTGGAAACCGTTACCTCCCCGAGCCCGCAGCGCAGCAGGGATCATCGTCCGTACTCGCATCGTCTGAGACTGGCCAAAGTGAGCAACGGCGCCGGCGGCCTGCAACTGAGCATCGAGCTTAGCCGTCTGATCGACGACTGCGGCGGCTCGATTGGCGAGCGAGACAAAAAAGGCAAGATCCCGTCCGCACGTGGCAGCCTCGTGAGCAGCGGCGGCGGCGAAGGAGGAGGAGCAGCAGCAGCAGCGGCAGCGGCAGCGGCATCGGCGGCATCGGCGAAAGCAGAGGCGTCCTCCCAGACCACGCGCACTGTGGTCCGGGGCCCGATTATCATCGACGCGCGTACCTTGAACGCACACCCGACGCTACTGTCGACGAGCCACCACCACTCGACGACCGCTGATCATCATCATCTGCATTATCACTACCAGCAACACCACCACTCGGCAGTCGCGCCGAGTCAGCAGCAGCAACAGCAGCAACACAGTTGGTGCAGCGGCTGCAAGCTCGCCACCGATCAACAGCAACAGCAGACCGCGGGACAGGTAGCCGGTGTCGTCGCTCAGCCACCGCCCGTAGTCAGCTGTCTTCTGGGAGTCTATCCCGGTGCGCCCACTGCTCCCACTGCCGGCTGCGGCGCTCAGGCTGGGCCCCTAGTGCCGCGAGTACCGCCGCCGCCAGCGCCTCCTCAACCGCCTCTACTGACGGCCGTCGGTCCGTACAAGCAGCAGCAGCAGCAGCCCCAACCCCAGTCGATCGTCGGTCCGGTCAGCGCCGGCCTGGTACAGACCGCCGCGGCTGCCAACGTCGTCACCCCCAGTGGCTGTCGTACCTGTTGCTGTCATCATCAGCAGGTGACTCCGCATCAGCAGCAACAGCAGCAACAGCCGACACAACCGCAGCAGCAGCAGCAGCAGCATCATCATCATCACCATCATCAGCCCGCGACAGCTGTACAGCTCACCAGCCAACGGGGCGGTATATCGTTAAGGGTTGCGAGGGTGGCGTCCACCACCTCCGTCCGAGCCGCCCCCTACGCTCACTCCCAGCACCAGGTTTTGGGAACGGAGTGCAGGTAAGGCAACCAAAACCGAATCTTCAACAGCGAGGACTCGATTCCTTGTTGTGCGTGTGTGGGGAAATTCGCAGACTCGTTAATATTCTTTCAACCAAAAATAGTTATTGCAAGCACACGAAAAAGTAAAATACCTTTTTCCTTCTCTAATCAGCTGGTGCAGATATGGTTTTTTAACGAAACTCATTGCAGCACATGCCGTTTGGCTTGTGCAATGATCCCTCATTTTTCTAAAAAACCATAACTTTTCTAAAAAACATAAATCAGGAAGGTTTTCTATTGGGCCAGTGAACGGATTTTGACGACTTTGTAGATTCTCTCATATACTCCATTTCATTTTCACTGGACAGAGGTTAATAATCTTGGTTAATTCCAGGTGTAGGGAGGACACGGGCGCAGTGGGTGGAGGTGGTGCGGCACATATCCTCGGCGGCCCGATGCTGTTTGTCCCGTTCACGGTGCCCTCGTTCCCTGCGACGCATCAACAGCAGCAGCAACAGCAGCAGCAGCAGCAAAGCCACCCGGCGGTGGTGGCCACTGCGCCGCCGCCCCTCGCGCACGGCCCAGTCCAGTCGCACCACCACACGGCGGTAGCTGTGCAGTCGGTAGTGCCGGCCGGCCCAGCCGGCCAGAATCAAATCGTGCAGGCCCAGCAGCAGCAACAGCAGCAGGGCCAGCCCCAGCCGGGGGTTGTCGCCCCGGGGGCCCAGCTCAATCATCTGAGCCATCAGGCTCTGGTGCAACAGCAGCAACAGCAGCAGCAGCAGCAGCAGACACCGACGAGCCAGCAGCAGCCGATCATCCACAGCACCAGCTGTTCGCCCCAGCAACAGGCCACCACACCAAACAAGGTAGGTCGAGTGCCTTTGTATATACACTTTATTACTGTGTGCCTCGATCATCGATCGAATCAGTAGTACGAGTCGATATCGCGTCGGGCAGTGATCGAGCTCGCGATCGATTTCTCTCAAGTACCTTTATGCGTACGCACTTCGCTCCGGAGAGCATATGATTTTGCTCTCAATGAACTGTAAAAGCATATTCCTCTCGAGCGTATGAAATTTTTCCCTCTCTCGCAATCTTGCGCGGAAAAGGCGAATAACAGTTTTCATCTATATATACGTACGGGATACATCGCAGCAGCAGTCGAAGGAGGAAAAAATCCAATGTTAACGCCTCGTCCCTTTTGCGCTGCGCGTAGCTCTCGAAGCGATCTCGTAATAATATACAGAGCAGCTAGCTCTCGACGTATTGTGCTTTCTCTCTCTCTCTTTCTCTTCGTATCTCTCGTGCACGTGGCAACGCGCGCATACTTTTATGATTCTGGCCAGGATTCAAGTCAATTTTCTTTAGCGAGCTATAACTCGCGAAGAGATACGCGCACGTTGCGCGCCGCACCGGGAATTCCTTTTTCCTCTCTCTCTCTCTCTCAGTGTCTGTGCGTGTACATCTTCTTCTGGCTTCTGATGTTTAATTTTTTTCTCCTCCATTGCCGCGCCATAGTCTGGCGCGCGCTGATCTGTTGCTGTTGCCTTATTTCGCTTAGATTTTTGGCACAGTCGCGGTCTACTACTGTGTACCGTGTCGTCGTTAAAACACAGACGTTATCAATTATATCGTCACCGTAGTACCGGGCAACTATTATCGTTCGATACCGTACGGGGCGAATAATAATTTTAATACAAAAAAAGAAGCATCGAGACGACTACCTACAACTGCACGACTACGATCGGACATCTTGAACTGCCGCAGTAGTGCTCGCGGATTCTCGAGAAGAATTCAAAGGGGTACAAAAGTCGAGTTGTACTAGCAGCAGCATCAAGCGAGAGATACAGAGGGTATATATCGCGCGTATATATTGCGGAAAAGGCAGTTGGAAGAAGAAAAAGTGCGCGCACAAGCGAGAAACAGCTCGCTCGCGCGCAAGAAGAGAAAGAGACAGAGTCTCGAGCGAGCGAGTGAGTGAGTGAGGCTGTTGCTTTTGCTTCTGCTGTTGCTGCTGCTGCTGCCGCTGCAAGACTTCGAAAGTAGCTCAGCTAACTTTATTAATTAAAGGCTGTTAGTCCCGCTCTTGGCTCGATACACCGGGCGCAGCAGCAGCGGCGGCAGCGGCAACGTTCAAGTTTACTCTTCAAGCCCCGCTCGGCTTGGCGAGGCAAGGCAAGGCTCACTTTCTCTCGCTCTCTCTCTCTCATACTCCTGTAGCAGCATTGCTTGTATCACTTGCACGCCTCCTTGATTTTCATTATTATACACATTATTTTTCATCATTACACAATGGCCTTCTGCCGGTGCTGCTGCTGCTGCTGCTGTGCCTCTCAGCCTCTATAGCACGTGTAAGTTTGTCAATTTGCGAGCAAAACGTCTCGGGGATAATGCCCCGAGGCTTTAATTTATATACATTGATAAGGATGAAAGGAGAGAGAGGGAGAGAGAATCGTCGTCGGCAGAAATAAAATAAATGACAAACGGAGTCGGAAAATAGAGAGCCGGTTTAGCTCGATCGAAAAATACACGCGGAAGTCTGGTCAACGCCACGGAGACACTCTCGCACCCACACGAGCGACTTTTCTCTGCGTGTATGTGTGAAAGCTAAGACCGGAACACCGCGCTCGTGCGCAATTATCTTTCTTTTTGCTTCTCTTTTCCGCACACACGAGCTTGATAAATCGAGGCCTGCTGCCGCTGCTCGACGCGCTTCTCGTAATTACAAAATTGCTTGCTCCGCGCGTATACGCGCTACGTACGTACGTGTGCGCGCACGTATATTCACATACACACACACACACACACACACACACACACACACACACACACACACACACACACAGATTCGTATTGCGGCGCAGCTGAAAGAGAACGATGTTGAAACACACAACTCGCCAAAAGCTCGACTCTCTCTCTCTCTCTCTCAGGGAGAGTTAGGCAGAATAAGAGAGGCCACGAGGGGGGTAGGAAAAAAAGAGAGACAGAGAGAGGCGAGCCCAGGAGTGACTTTATAGCCTATGAAATCTTTACAGGCTGCGAGAGCTTGCGTTGCGCCCGCGCGTGTATATATAGGGATGAAGATCAAAGCGAGCTGTGTGCTACGGAGATGATTTCATTACGGCACGCCACTCGGGCTGCTGCTGCTGCTGCTGCTGCTGCTAGCTTCGTTGAAATATCAAAAGATTGCAGCTGGGTACTATTCTTTTTCTGCTGAAATTTTTCCGTCTCTTTCTCTCACTCCCTCTCTCTTACTCTCTCAGTCTCTCGCGTCACCTTTTTTTTTTCATTCATTCGACAGCCTCCTGCTGCTGCTGCTGCTTCTGGCTTCCATGCGCACTCACTCACACACACGCACACGCACACACGCGTATATATACCGGCGACGCCACCGCCTACTTCTTTATCTTTCCTGTATGCAGCAGCCCAAGCGTATATGTACGTATACGTATACGTGCACACGCGCCGCGCGAGTTTTTCAAATATACATACTTTTATATAACCCTTTTGTTCGCGTATACTTCGTTTTGTTCTTTTTTTTTTCTCTCTCTCTCTCTCGTTTTCTCTCGCAGCCACATGCGGCGCGCACACACATATTCATAACATCAGCCAAGCGACCTCCTCCTCCCTCGCCTTATATACCCTTTTCTTCTTCTACTTTTCCAAGAGTCGCATTAGCTCTTGCTTCTGCCTTGCGCACACGCATACACACGTACACAAGCGTTTACCCAGCTGTTATGCGTGCGGGTCGTGAAAAGTTGCCGGGCGAAATTTGTTTAAACGCCGATTTCGGGGCCATTGTGTTGTGGCGCGCGCCGGCCTTCGAGCTCGCAAATTTCATCGTATTGGACGGTATACGCGAGCCTCGGCTCATATTGCATTTATTAGCAATATATTACTTGCTCCGGTGGAATGCCGGAACGCGTGAGACTTTTTGCATGTGCAGATTTTATTAATTTGTTTGTTTCGTCACAAACCATACGCAGACTGAAATCGAATACGATAATACTACTTCGAGACCTACCGCTAGATGGCGAGTACCAAAATATGTAAATCTACAAGTGGCAAAGTCAAAATAATTGTATAAGTCTCAATCAAACGCCACACAATTAGGATGGTCTTCGCAAGTGGCTTTTTTAAATAACGAGGGCTCGTAGAGCGCTGAAACTATGGCTAGTGAGTGATAAATAAGTTTCGATTCGAAAATTTTTGAGAATAAGTTGAGCATGTTAAGTATATCAATTCGAAAAAATTTGTTAAAACATAAATAGCGCAAATAGAAGCCTGCAAATTGTTCGCGGTGTTCTTCAATTTTTCCTATCAATGTCTCATCTTGATTCTGTGTCACTGAGTAAGGCAAATCATTTCTTATATTGAACCAGGTTAACCAATAAACTTAAAATTAATTTAACGTTGACTCGATGTGCCCCGGTTTTTTCTTCATTTTTTAGTCCCTCTTCTGAGTTTATTATAAATAAAGTGAGGATCATTACATTATATGCCCATATAATTTTGATAAAAATTTTACATTTTCGGATAATATGCGTCAAGCTCTAACGGTGCTTTAAGTGCAAGACAATTTTTTAGTTAACCAAAAACTATAGCCATAAAATATTGAGCATTTCTACCAGAAAAGCGTTAGTTTATTATTACAAGACGCTTTCATCAAAATCAACAGTCTTTCTCTCTCTCTTTCTCGAACAGCGCGTAAAGATGAAAAAAATCGAGAGTCGGGCTAGATACAAATAGAAAAAATAGGAAAAAAAGAAGGTGGAAGCAGAAAAAGAGAGAGACAGGAGGTTGCTAAACGGATTTCAGGCTTGTCGTCACGTGGCCCTTAATATTTCATTACATTACTTCTTTTACCCGAGGCTCGAGGCCATATACTACTCTTCTCTCGAAGACAACGACGACGACGACGACGACATCTTTGCCACTGCCGGCCACATATAGCCCATGCCGCAGTACACACACACACGGCACCGGCTGCAACACGTCAGGCACGTACACATACTCGAAGGTCTTTTCCTCTCTGGATCGAAAAATAAGAGAGAGAGAGAAAGTTTTTTTCCTGCTGCTGCTTTTTCTCGCTCTACTGCTACTACTACTACTACTACTACTACTACTACCACCACTATTGCTGCTGCTGCTGCTGCTGCTGCTGCTGCTATCCAGGAGAAACAGGCAGGAGAATATTATTAGACCTAGCACTCGCCAGACTCTACTCTACTTATATTGTCGAAATAAGCTTCTCGCGCCTCTCTTTTTTTCCTTGCGGATATGGCCTAAAACGACTTTACCCAAGGTAGAATAGATTCGCTCCGTCCTGCTTCTTCTTCTTCTTCTCTTTTTTTTTTGGCTTCCGTTTCTCTCTACCCGATGGTGCAAGGCGGAATATACACCCGCACACACGTGCGCTAGGTCTTATTCTCATTCACGTGTACATATACGAAGAGCCGCGCGCGCGCTCGACTCGTGCGGAGCGAAATAGGATTTTTATACTCGCCCCCTCCGCGTATGTTTGCCGTCGAAATGATGTTTATATTTTACACTTCTTACCCTTCGCTCTGGTGTAGACGTCGTCGTCGTCGTTGCACTAAGAAATAACGAAAAAATTAATTCTAATGGAGGGCATAGTAAAAAAAAAAAAGACCAAGGAGGAAGGTAACGACGACGATTCAGCCTGGTAATTGAGAAGTAAAAAGCGTAAGGAAAAAAAATAGTACGGCAGCTGCGCGCAGCAGCAGCAGCATTGACGCTCGTAATGGATGAAAGACCGTCGTAAAATTTTACGAATGAGCATCGCGTATAGTCGGGGGCGAGAAGCCGCGCTCGACTATTGCGACCATTAGGCGAAACGACGGAG